ACTTTGCACCCTGTTTCTAAAAAAGCTTTGTTTTTGCATCCCAATCCCATATAAAAAGACAAAATGCCCCTCCATTAACAATTTTGTTGGCCTTTAACATATTCTTGATCGCGGGCATTTTTGTATTTTCATATGGGGTTGGGGGTGCAAAAACAATTTTTTTTAAAAATTGGGTGCAAAGTCTAATTTGGACAATAAAATGGGGTGCAAACTCAAATTACCCCTTTTTTTAGAAGCTGGTACTACCCAGCTTCTACCAAACTGATTCTACACCCATTTTAACAGAACTTTTACAATCATATCCAAACACCTACAAAACTGATTCTACTTCAAAGTGCTCCTTGGGACAACAGAATTGGCTTGTACAAGCGGTTCCAAACATCCTCTGAGTTGTGTACAGAAATCCGGTGACTCCAATTTACGTTTATTACTGCTTTAATATTGAAAATCCAGTGACTCTGGTATTGTGAGTTTTGTGCTGATTTGTTCTTAAAATTTATATTATATTTCTGCTTATACAAAAGAACAAGGCGTTTGAACCCGAGTTTTTTGCTCATTGCTATTCCCCATTTGTTCATGCTAGTTGCTTCGTATATTTCCTAGCCTTATAAGTATTTAAATTGTTTGTCACCTAAACTTACATTTTTAGTTGCTTGTTTTCTTTGTGAAAATGTCTATTAATTGGTATGGTATGGCTCCATTTAACGGAAAATCTGATTTTACCATTTGGAAGCACAAATATAAATGTGCACGGAAGATAAAAGGGCTAAAAGTTGAAAACGTTTGTTTTGTAATTCAATTAACTTGTCTAATTGTGTGATTAGAAAAGTTGAAATTTTTGAAAGTACTAAAATATTGTGGAATAAATTAGATGAAGTGTACACCGAAACTACTTTGCCTAGTCGGATGTTTTTACTGTTGGGCCATGAGAATGCGGTGTCAGCAATCTGCGAGTCTGTCGGTGCATTTAAAATGCGGTGCTTGACTGCTACACACGTATAAGGAAATAACGTCACGTCTTTGCTACCAGTTATAGCTTTTGGCATAGTGGCAATCGCTTGATCCTGACAATTGGTATCAAAGCATGTCACGGGTTCGACCTCCGACAACAGCGTGTCGCGCAGTTGTACGCTGGCAGGTGCTGAGGGAGATTGTTATGCTGTGGAGATGCGGTGTAAGCACTCCTCCAGCGTTCTAGTGGAATCGAAACTTGGTGTTTAAGTGCTACGCAAGTATGAGGAAATAAAGTTGTGCCTTCAGTACCAACTTTGACTTTTAGCGTAATGGTAAGTGCTTGATCCTAACATTTACTTGAAAAGTTTTTCAAATTTAAACTTGATATATGCCTAGGGACATTGATGCAAATCTAGATGTTTTTACCAAACTTATTTCAAATATTAAGTTGTGTGGTGATAAACATATCATTATACACATATTAATCTTTTAAATGATATTTATGATTCCTATAGATGTGAAATATGGTATAAAGTATGGTGAAAACAATGTGACCCTTGACATTATGGTTAACGGTCGTAAGAGTAAGCAATTAGATTTGAAACACATAGGTGGGGGGTAAAGAGTCGGAGGAGGTTATGCATGCGATGGATAGAAATAATCATAGAAGATGCAGATCTAAGTCTAGGTGTAACACGGAGCGTTGTTATAATTGCCACGAATTTGATCATTTCATAAAAGATTGTCCTAAATCTAGGAAAAATATGTTGGAAAAATTGAGAGTATTTCAAATGAATAAAGTTTTATTACAAAACAACAACATCCAAGCCTAAGTCCCAAACGATATTGGCGTAGACTTGGGGGAAGCAAAAGTGATTTTGGGTATGAGAGTCATAAGGAAGGATTATGATACTATAATATCTTTAAATAGGTTTTAAAGAGTACCCCTTATGACTCTCATATACACTTGAAAAGCATGGAGGTGATTCCGAGGCTCAATATGAGTATTCCCAAATTATTGGATGTTTATTACACTTGATGAATTATACGAGGCCCGACATAGCTTATGTTGTCGGAAGATTGAGCCGATATACCCATAACCCAAGTGGGGATGATTGGATTGCATTGAGGCAGTTATTGAAATACTTGAGAGGTACCATTAATTATGGCAATTTTTTTATTGAGATTATCCGTTGTAATCTATGGATACAACGATGAAACGTTTTATTGAGAAATATTCATTGTACTAGAGCGGTACAATGATGTTATGTATATGAGAGTTATCCATTGTACTATTATGATACAATGATGTTATATATCTTTTATCGAGAATTATCCGATGTACTAGAGGGTCACATCGATGTTATTTCTTATTGAGAGTTATCCGTTGTATTGCCGGGATACGACGACGACATATGAGTCGACTCACATGAGATAAAATAAAATAGAGGATATCCATTCACCCTTAAAAGTGGTGCTATGATGTTTGAGAATGGAATTATTTCCATTAATTTTGTGAAGTCAGAAGGAATTAGCTACTTCTTTGAAGAATCCCTAGGACGAAAAATGATAACCGAAACATCGAAGGAAATGGGACTAGTGTCACTTGAAACAAATGGGGATGAGAACCCAACTTGTGTGATTGGAGATCCCATGAAGCAAGTTCATATGGGTAATAACAAGTCTTCCATTTAGTTCTGCTAACCTAACCAAAATTGCCCACTTTCATGATGTGAGATATAGGCTAGAAACCGCATTCTTTGAGAGGGTGAGCTAAAAGCTCTTAATGATTATCATAGCCATTAATTTTAGGGTGGTGTGAAAAAGCGGTACACACTTTATGATATCACCTATATGAGTGTGAGGTGGGGCCGCCTCTATGAAGCATGACAAAACTTCTAGAGCACTCATGAACACCAAGCACGCGCATGGCCTTACGGCGCACAACGGTGAGACACGACCGTTAAGACCCTGATTTACAAATAGTGGCTCATTGGTTCATAGAAACTATATGTTTCACCAAAAGCTCAAGTTATTAAGACTTAATCGTCTCGGTTTGGTTTATAGTCTACGGACACCAAACTTAAAGCCTCATTCCTTTAATCCAGCAGAAATTTTCCAAATAATATTCAAATTCTCAAAATATTCATTTGAAATATGTGGGGGATTTTTGGAAAATTGAGAGTATTTCAAAGAGTTAATTATCAAAATAGGACTAAAAGTCATTCACTTTGCACAAATAGGACCAAAAAATAAACTATGTTTCCATAGGACTAATTATGTGTGTCTTGGACAAATATACCCTTATACTTATTGAAATGTTTTAATTCATAATAAAATAATAAAAATAATAAAAATTCATAAAATTTACCAAAAAATCAATAAAAATATTTTGAATAATAATAAATTTAAAAAAAATTAAAAAAAATTAAAAAAAATCAAATTTTTTTTTGTCACCGCCGCCTCTGCCGCTAGGGGTGTGCACGGGTCGGGTTCGGGCGGGTCGGGTTTGCAAACCCTAAACCCGTTCGGGTTTTTTAATTCAAATACTAGGCCCGACCCTTTGATATTTCAAATCGGGTATTTCGGATATTTTTAAGTCGGATATTATCGGATATCGGGTCGGGTTTCGGATATTTCGGTTATATTAAAAAAAATTATAATTGGATAATAATTAAAGTGTTTAAATGCCACTTTGACAAAAATTGTACACACTAGTGCACTAAACTTTCAAATTACACAAATAATTTAACACAAATTGCACAAATAATTACACAAATAATTGAACACAAGTATTAATTTAACATATTCAAAGTACACACTACATAATTTAATATATTTCGGATATTTTGGTTATATAAAAACACATTATAATTGGATAGTTAAAGTGTTGGAATGCCACTTTAACAAAAGTTGTACACACTAGTTCACTACACATTCAATTTACACAAATAATTTAATACAAATTGCATAAATAATTACACAAATAATTGAACACAAGTATTAATTTAAATATTCAAAGTACACACTAACATATATTTCGGATATTCGGGCGGGTCGGGTTGGGATTTCACAAACCCTACCCGCCACCCGGTCTAGGCCCAATACTAATCGGATTTTCGGTTTCGGGTTTTTCGGGTCTGATATCCACTTCGGTTCGGATAATATCCGAAAAAAATATCGGGTTTTTCGGGTCGGATCGGGTTTTGCTCAGCCCTATCTGCCGCCCCAGCACCACCACCTCTAGTCATTTGGGGAAAAAAATGCCAAATTTATTATAAATTCCATATTTTTGGCATTATTCAGAATGATTTAAGATGGCAGAAAAAAATGCTGGCATTGTCAAAGAGAAATATGCCATGTTTTTGACATTTTCCGAAAAAAATGGAAGTTTGTAGGAAATATGGCATTTTTTTAACGGTCGGAGGTGGTGGTGCAGGGAGGCGGTACCACCACCTCCTATCACCGGGGTAAAAACATGCCAAAAAAAATTATGAATGCCATATTTTTGGCAAAAGTCAAAAGGATTCAAGTTGGCAGAATGAAAATGTTGGTATTCTCATAGAGAAATATGCCATTTTTTGTGGAATTTAAAAAAAAGTGGCATTTTTTACACCGATCAGAGGTGATGGTTCAGGGAGGTAGTACAGGCGGTGGGAAAGGTATCCATATTTTTTTTATTTTTTTATGGAGTTTTACTTTTTTTTTATTAATTTTCAAAAAAAAATAAAAAAAAATTCCTATTTTTTATTTTATAAACATTTTATTAATTTTTTTTGTTATTTTTCTACAGATTATTGAATTTTTTTCGGATTTATTATGAATTAAACATTTAATTATGACTTTTAGCTATCTTTTACTAATATTTAAAGGAGGGGTAAGAATGGAAGGAAGAAATGGGTATGTTTCCAATAGGACCACTATGGTCCTATTTTGGAATAAAAACATAGCAAGTCCTATTTTGATTTTTTGCCATAGTTTTAGTCCTATTTGAAGTAATTTCTATATTTCAAATGAATAAAATTTTATTAATTTTAATTATTTTAATAACTTTAATTTAACGAAAAATCATAACCAAGGGCGCAGCTAGGGTCTGCGGAGTTTTGGGGTCGGCGTTAACACGCTCGACGTTTTTCCTTTGGCTGCGGCAATCGAAGGTCATCGCTTTGTTTGTAGCGGGCGAGAGCACGACAATAGTCAGGTGTAACGATTCTGTCTTAGGCTATTTATTTGCGAACGTTGCAGGACAATCGGCAGAGGTTTTCCTCAGGCAACTGTTTTAAGCGTCAATTTTGAAGGAAATCGGCAGGGATTCACTGCTCAGGCATCGTTTTCGAGTGTCGAGTTTTGAAGAGCAAAAAATCGATTTTCAGGGCTAACGTGAAGGATCTGTTTAGGCGAATCTCTATAAGTCGTTTAGCCTATTCTTTCAACGGAGAGTAGGCAATCAAGATGGTTGACGCCAACGAGATGGAGGAGATTAACAGGTTGGTCAAGCTTATGATAGACTGGAGATGGAGGAGGAAGATGAAGTATTGCATGTGGTGGCTAAAGCTCCAGGGAGTGAGGAGATAGGTGATAAGTCCATTTTTGTACTTATTTTTCTTATCAAATTTAAGCGATTTTTGAATAAAAATAGAAAGAAAAGGCATGTTTTAGATATTTTGGTTCGAGTTTCATGAAATCAGGTAAAAATCACATCCATAATATGTTTAGCGGGATTTCGGGTCAATTGAGCACAAAATGAGCCAATTTGGACAACAAATGATATCATACCAAAAGAAGGAAACATTATTTCAAAGTGGTCCAGAAGACAATATTGAAGAGCACAAAACAAGGAACAAGCCGGACAAAGAATCTCATAGGCGCCCAAACAGGCGGCCAAAACGAAGGCCTTCGCGGCCGCCTACGGTATTTTTGGAAAGTCAAACTTTGACTTTGACCGGATTCGGAAAAGACCGTAGGCCGCCGACACTGGACGGAAGGCGGCCGCCTACGGTGACCGCCTGCGGCAGAAGACGACGAAGCAACCACCGGCCGGTGGGATTTGACGGCAGGCGGCCAGACAGGAACGGCAGGCGGCCGCCTGCTGGACCGCCTGCGGCGGCCGGGATCCGCCGGGATCCGCCGGGATCCGATTTGACAGTGAAAAGACGGCAGGCGGCCGATGGGTGACGGAAGGCGGCCGCCCTCTGTGGCCGCCTACGGCTGACGGAGACCAGGCCACGTGTCGTTGCCGGCGAGCTGACGGCAGGCGGCCAGTTGCTGCCGGAAGGCGGCCGCCTTCCCGGGCGCCTTCGGGGAAATTTTTCCTATAAATTGCCCGATTTTTCCTCAACTCAAACACACCTCTTCCAACCCTAAATCAGTTCAAAACACCTTCTTTCTTCCTCCATTTTCGAGCTCCAAAGGGTTTAGAGAGAGAGAAACTTCAAATCTTCATATCTTCTTCATTTTAGCTCCAAATTGTAAGTTCTTTATATGTATTTTCATCTTCTCAATGTGTAGAATCTGAATCTGTGCTTTGTTTCTTCGATCTGTTCTTCGAAAATTTCCAGATTATTTTTCAAGTATTTCGCATTTCCTTCCAAAAATTAAATAAAATAGTTATTGTTGTTGAATTCATTCCAATTAATTATATAGTTGTTCACTAGCCTCAAGGAAGTTATTTAGCTGAAGAAATTAATTTTTCACGAAGCAGAAGTAATTTTTAATTAATTTTGGTAATTATTTGATATTAGTTCATAATTTAGAATAAATACTAGAAAAAAAAGGAAAAAAATGAGTTCGGCTCTATTTACAGTTTAGTTAACTTAAATATCATTACTAGTAGTTAATATAAAATTTTGTACGAACTTAGCGTTTTTTTTATTAATTTCGGTAATTACCTTATATTATTGCTTAAATCAAAATAAATACTAAAAAAAGGAAAAAAAAATTAGTTCGGACCTGATTACAGTTTATTCACAGTTATATACCTCCCAGTAGTTAAAATAAAATTTATAATGAAGTTAGCATATTTTTAGTTGCTTTTTGCATTTTCTAGTTAAAATTGGGAAGGTTATCAATTAGTTGTTAAAAATTGGATTTTAGGTTCAAAAATTTGTGAAAAATTCCAGAAAGTTATATTTTAGTTCTTACAAGTTTATTGTTCCAGAATATAATTTTTGTTTAATTTTTGCTATCATACATATTTAATTCCTTGTTAATGTTGAATTTAATCATTATATTGTTAATTGCAAAAATGGTGATGAGTAGCTAAATTTGTTAGGGCATGAATTGAGAAAGGGAATATGGATTGACTTGTTGACCTAAAATTAGGGGTTAAGATTAATAAATTGGACTAGTTGTTTAAAATGATGAAATAGTAATTAATAATAGTTAGCCATTTTCATTAATTAAATTCTTGGAAAATTAATTCTAACTTGTCTATGAGATTAGAAATTAATTTGAGCCAACCATATTTGAGCACATTAATAAGGCCTAGAAATAGGATAATTTAATGAAAAGGATTTACATCTTGTCTATGAGAAATAAATTCAATTGCTAAAATAAAGAGTTTAACTAGTTAATGAATTTGGCTATTTTTATTAATTAAAATATTGGAAAATTATTTCTACTTTGTCTATGGGTTTAGAAAATAATTTAAGCCAACCATTTTAAACACATTAATGATACCTAGAAATAGGATAAATTAATGAAGATAGTTTCTATTCTTGTCTATGAGGAAAGAAATTATTAGTCCAACTTTAGTCTTAATTTCCCTAATTAAGAGGTCCAAGAACATATCCATTTCTAATTACTCAATTCATTGCCCTTATTTGCATCCTTGAATATTCAATCTTTATACATTAATCTTTAAATTGCACCTTGCTCCTAGTATAATTTAGCATAATATAGAACAAAATCACTTTCCTATATTGAAAAAGCTTCCAACGATTAGCGATAGCCCGTGACTAAAATTAAATTAAGAAACTTCTCCGCCATTCCTCAAGAGACACGACACTCGGGGAAAAACCGAAAGGTTAGACTCCGTTTTACTACAACGCCGCGAAAGCGGTTATCAATAGGGTTGGCCTTGGTTGGAACGGTCACTTCCGAAAAATCGGTACGTTTCTCTTTTTTTCGTGACACTATGGCCAATGTTTGGAAGCCTGTTAGAGGCGTGACCATTACTGAGTTAGGTGCACAAAGGTACATGTTTCAATTTTACAATAAAAATGATATGATCCGTGTTATGGAGGAAGGACCGTGGACTTTCGATCAAAACCTTATTGTGCTTGCTAGGTTAAAGCAAGGTGATTTGCCGCTGAAGGTACCGTTGAATAGGGCTGACTTTTGGTTACAGGTTCATGATGTGCCAGTGGGCTTCTTTTCTGTGGAAAATGCTATTAGAATTGGGAATTTTGTAGGGAATTTTGTTAAGGTAGATGAGCAGAACTTCTCTGTTGAATGGAACCCCTATATGAGGATTAGGGTTAGTATTGACTTGAACAGGCCTTTGAAGAGGAAACTTTTTCTTCAATCTGATGAAGGAGAAAGTTTTTGAGTTAAGTTCAGGTATGAAAAACTACCTAATTTTTGTTTTGCTTGTGGAGTCATTGGTCATGCAGAACGTTTTTGCCCGTGCTACCCTGACGGTAAAGGCAAAAGTGAGGAATTTCTTTATGGACCTGAGTTGAGAGCTTCAAAAGGAAACAAAGTTGTGGGAGGCAACAAATGGCTAGTCCCAATTGGTAAAGGTAAAGAAAAAGAGGAGGAGGGCGGAATAGGCTTGGCAAGCTCGAATGCAGATAGAGAACAGCAGCAGGGACTGGACCAAACTCACAATGGAGTCAAGGTGGATCAAAAGCGTAGGCGCGTAGATCACGAGACTCAAGAGTTTGCACAAAAGGATATGGACATGGAGACGGGCTCACCAAAAAACGGGAAGGGGGCGGGCTACAATGCCCGCCTATCAGATATCTAGAAGATGCGTCGGGTGGTGCAACAAGGATGGAAGTCTACAAATTCCATCACCTGTAATTTTATTTTTGCTACTTTATTTTTACTTTTCCGAACTCAGTTGCTGTTTGCTTTTTTGTTTTTATTTACAATAAGGGAGTGAGTGTCCTGGGTGTTTTGTTTTTTAGTAAGTTTTATAGTGTTGGAGGCAATCAGGCTGTCACAGCCGCTAATAGCCTCTTAACTCTCACTGTCTCAGCAATTAGTCTCGCTCTTTTTGGGGTGAACTATTCTATGTCTGGACATGACGTGAGGGGCCCGATGGGCTTTTGGTATTGTGGGTCTACTGGGAATTAGTATTTTGGTGTCTTGATTGATGTAATGTCTCTTTTGGTTCTAATATAAGCATTTTCCTTCAAAAAAAAAAAAAACTTTAATTTAACGAAACGTGTATCTTTATTAACTTTAGTTTCATTGCAAACATTAAATCCTTTTCAGTTTTGAATACGTACGTTGCTGCATGGTTGAAAACCATTAACATTATTAATTATTAAGTACTATCTATAATACAGTTAATACACTTTAAAATTTTGCTAACGTTAACCTTCAAATTCAACTATTCAAGCCTTAGTATAAAGGGCTTGTTTGGCAAATAGCTGTTAGTTGTTAGATGTTAGCTGGTTGTGTTAGCTGTTAGATGTTAGCTGGTTGTGTTAGATGTTTTGAATAGCTGATCATTAAAGTTTATTGTAAACTAATGTTTGGTAAAATTAGCTGTTTGTAAATAGCTGTTTGATGCAAAAAGACGTATATAGACATGAGGATTTATTTATTATTTTGTTGTTATACATACTACTTTTTTGAATACTAATATGTAAATTTTTAATAATCATGTGACACTGGCCAAAAAAATAACTTTTGTTTTCTTTTCTAATTCATTTTAATTTTTTCCCCTTTCTAATAATTCGAATTTTATTCTCTCTCCCCATCCAGGACTTGTGTTTGTTCTACGCATTTTTCTATTTCTTTTCTACCTTCTCGATCTCCTGCTTTCTTCTTTTCCTTCCTTGTTTACCGGACATTCCTATGGCAACTCATAAAAAAATCAGGATTTCATCAGCCTCTTATTTCCTATGGCAGTCTTCCGCTTCATTTTTTTCAATTTTTCCTTTCATTCATTAAATTTGGGGGTAACGACAAAGAGAAGCAAGGATCCAACAACTTTAATTTGCTAGAAATTGGTGCCAATGACTCTGGCCGGTGGAAACAGCAGCTTTGAAGTGAGGAAGTGTGATTTGGCTTTGATGTAATCGCTACATAAAAACGAGCTACAGTAATATTAAAGGGCATAAGCGAGTTTTTAACGGACCAGCCGAAGCAAAACGCTGCCCTCTCCAGCTTTTTGGTTTTTTTGAGTTCAAACAGCCAACTGAAGCATCCGATTACCAAACACTGATATTGGCTGGTTGAATAGTCAAAGAAGTTAAATTCGGTCAAACAAGCCAAAAAACGGCTGATAAGCCATTTGCCAAACGTAGCCAAAACGTTTTTAGCCTGAGCTTTAAATAATACATGCTCAACGTATGTGGGATTTAATTAAGCAATACAGCTTGCGCTTTAAATGCTAAATTCTCACCTAAGCTGCAACGTACGGTGATTACATGTTATATATATTCAGCTACTTGCTTGATTTTAAAAGTCAGTAGCTACGAACTAAAAACTCCCTCACACCACATTTTTGCCTGTTGGATTAATTATTTCTATTACTCTCGTTGTTCTGTTACCGGCTTATGTCGAAGAGCTCGTTTTATCTTGGGGAAAAGTTTTCGCTCGTCGGAAATACTTTCTTGAGGACAGCGTTTACGCGACTCGAGCTATATTATTTTTCTAACGAGTTTTCGCAGGTTTATCCGGCGAATTCCTCCAACAAAATAAACATATTGAGCATATTAATTTGACTACATGTGAAGATTATTTAGGTGATGTTTTCATGATAAATAATATGTGTAATTCTGGTCATTTGAGTTTTGTGAATTTTGATTCTTTGTGCAAATAAGATTAGTTGGTGGAGTCTGGTTGTACCTTACATACGTTTCCGTTTAAAAATTAATTTTCAAACTATAGACAGATTGAGTGTGGCTTTTTGTCTATGGAAAATGAGAAAAGATGCAATGTGCTAGGAATATGTGATGTATGTATTAGATTTTCTTCTGATTGTGTACTTTGAAGAATGTTAGGCATGCTCCTAATTTGTGTTACAATTGGCTATCATTTGCTTCTCTTGAGAATGATGGTTTTAAGAGAAAATGGAGAAAGGGAATCATAAAAATTGTGAAGGATTGTGTAGTTGTTTTTAAAGTTGAGAAGAAAATAACGGTTAACACCCGATCTAGCAACCTGCTACACCTTCTATTCTATTTATTAGCCTAGTTTATTTATACTCATCAGTTGTCCCATTTGAGTCTTGATTGAGGTGCATTGTTAAGCTATTTGTACGGGAGGTGTGTGTTTGTGTAGAATTGTTGGAATAGTCCAATAATTCTTTAGTTTAGGTTCAATGTATTAATTACATGCTTGTCATGTTTCCTTTGCCAAGAAGGCCGAATGATACCCTATTATATTGAGAGACTTGACATCCTTTAGATAGAGTGTTAGTGAGACAACCCAGACCCGTGGTTTTCTTCCTGGCCGATTATGGCTTCTGTGAAGCCTTTTCGATCTCCTTCTTAGTGAAGTCTTCTTCTTTGTGAGGTTCAGAGAGTGAATGGGGTAAGGTATGATATGGTTGTTGCTCCCTTATCCTAAGAGTGCACACGAGAGAGATAGAACCAACTTCCGGGCTGCTAAGCAAAAATCTGACCAACGGAACTAAACTCTCGACAATTTTAGTCCTTTTTAGCTAGGCTCATTTCCTTAAATTTATAGCCAACCTCTTGGTACATCCATTTCTTTTACAGCAGTAGTAGAGTCCTACTGAATTTTTAAGGTGGGCATTTCTTTGCCTTAAAATCGTGGGATCTAAGCAACATGTGTATCCAATCCAAAAATGTAGTGCATTTGCAGGACTTAGGCATGCATACCTGCAAAACGATGACACTTGATAGGGTGAAAACGCCAGTGAGTAGATAGACAGAACCTGTGATCTTCTCAAGGTGACATGAGCTTGATGATGATGTGTGGGTGTGGGAGGTTCCTTGCATGAAGCTCATCAGTGTAGCACCCATGACACAAAATATTGTTCCCACAATTTTGGCTCTACTATACTTGCTACTCAGCTTCACCTTTTCTAACCTGTATCTCTCTGTTATATATAATTTGAATTTATTCATGTTGATTAAATAATTAATTAAGCCATATCACATCGCCTCGATACATAAGTAAATAAAAATACAAACTTATTGACATATTCTACTAAATAGTACTAAAACATGGAAATTTTGAGAAAATAGGAGTACAATGTTTTAATTCACAAAAAAAAAAAAAGAGTAATGCATGCATATGTGGACCAAAATACGTTGCTATATACTATCGTACAATTTTAATTTTAGAATAGAAAATTGAAAAAACAAACCAATTCAACAAGTTGACAGTCTCTCATGTCGACCCATTGAAAAATAAAACTATCTCGCTTCTGGTGACTGTTGCTAGCTTCTGGTGATTGTCATTGCTGAACATCGCCAGGCTCCGACGACCGGCGATGAAATTATATTTTCATCAGCAATAAAATGCTATAAGCTGGTGAAGGAGGAAGAGGGGATACATATTGGAAAATAAAAATACGTTGCATGTAGCCGTCGTACTCTCTCTTATAACATCATGGGAGAGAAGAATGGGATATTGGAAGAAGCAAAGAAGAAGGGGGGAGGGGGGAGAAGTTCAATTCCAAAATCATAAGAGGGAGAGAGGAGGGAGGAAGAAGGGCATTCGGGATCCGGAGATGGAAGAGTGGTAGAAAAGTAATTAGCACACCTACTTTAGTAATTTAAAATGGTGACAACTCTGGTACCCTTTTAAAAATTGGGGTACCGTACCTACCCTGCATTTGATTAATTCAAATCATTTTATTTTTTTTAATTTAGATTTAATTAATTCAAGTGCATCAGTCCTAATTAAGTAGCTATTGGTACATTTCATTTTCATATTTGTTTTTGTTATATGTAGCTAGTTGAGTTACTGAAGCAGCTAGCCGAGAAAGAAACCCTAGGCGGAGAATAACGACCGACCAAGAGTTGTTGGCGACTAGCTAGGGGAAGAGAAAGGAAGACATGCGGCGGAAGAGACGAAGAGGAAGTATTCAATTTAGGGTATTTGGGGGTCTGTGGCAATTGCTTCGATCAACGAGACATGGGTTTAACAGGATAGGTAATTAAGTTGGAACTGCCGTGGGTTGGGTGTTGATGGATTTGGATCACAAGTGGGATTTGGCAACTGTTTCGTCGTGGCCGGACAATTCAATGAGCGGCGGCTTTTGGGGAGAACTGGTTCGTGGACCTATCTACCGGAGTATTATGTATGAAATTCATAATAGACTATATATGAAGTTCGCCTGGACCCTGGGGATGGCCCTGTCTGTAGATTTACAGCCAACTACTATCCTGAGAGACCAAGACAAAGGGAATCTTGGGCCCCACTGCGGATGTCAATTCAATGATAAGCCATGGCTTGACATTCAATGATATCGATCATTGTGGCAGAGATTGGGACCTAGCTAGTTATGTGGGGCAAAAACAGATCAATGGGGTTTCTGACCCGGATATATAGAGGTGCATGTGTAAATATCAGTTAAGTTGGGTCAACTTTTATACAGTACAACAAAAGTTGCGCTAGTTAGTGGACCGGTTGTATAAACACAACAAATTCTAGCTCAAGGAAGGAAGGTGACACAAATACAAAATTCTTCCATTATGCAGTAAAACACCGGAGAAGGAAAAATTATATCAAGGGGCTTAGACTTGAAAATGGATGGGGACTGAGAAGTGAATCGATCGTGGTCATATGATTGGGGCTGTCCAGGATCATTCATTTTTACCTCGAGCGCGGTTCAATAATTAGTATGCTTTGAAAAATATATAATCACATCAAAATAAAATACTTTTAATATATAATTATATCAAAATAATATATTTTTAATATATTTTTTAAATAAATTAAAAAATATGAAATGAAAAAAATACAAATGGAAAATATAAAATTAATATAAATTATCAAACCAAAAAACTAAAATATGTTTTATATTACAAAATATCAGATATAACACATAAAATACAAATTTTAACGTAATTGGTGAGAATATATTGTTTATTTTCTTATATATCTAAATATAAAATATTGAAATAAACTGAATGAATTTCATTAATTTATATTTCGATTTTTTTGTTTTGAATTTACTGAAAAATATAAATATTTCATATTTATATTTTATAT